AGTTATTCATTCTTGATATCATTTCCTCGAATCTTTTTTCAAGGTTTAGTTTGTTTGCATTGATTTAAAACATGTTTTTTTAGCTCACAAAAGTTTCTCATTATCCACCTTCTGCAGTCTAATTCCGTCATTTCGTCACAGTCATTCTCCGTCCAGCTTAGCTCCCTTGCTGGTGAGGAGTTTTGGTCCTTTGTAGGAGTTGCGGTGTTCTGGTTTCGGGTGTTTTCCTCAGTTTTGCACTGGTTTCTTCCCATCTTTGTGGTTTTATCCACCTGTCGTCTGAGTAGTTGCTGACTTTTCGATTGGGTCTCTGAGTGCATGCCCAGATTGTTGATGATGAAGTATTTCTATTACTTGGTTTTTTTTCTACCAGTCTAGCCCCATCACAGTATGACTGCTGAGGTCCTCTCCAGGCCCTGCTTGTCTGGGGTGCACCTATAGCAGCTGTGGAACAGTGAGGGATGTTCCAGTTTTTATTTCTGCTATCTTTGTCCCAGAATGATGCCTGCCAAATGTCAGTCTTCTGGATATAGAGGGGTCAGGGAGCTGCTTGAGGAGACAGTCTGTACTTTATAGGAGTTCAAGTGCTGACCTGTGAGCTCCGTTGTTCATTCAGGGCTGTTAGGCTGCTACATTTAATTCTGCTGCAGCAGAACTCATAAAAAAAAAAAAACCCTTTTTTTATCAGATGCTCTGTCTCGGGGGCTTGTGGTTCTCTTTATGTGTTCGTTGTGCTGTCCTGCCCAGCTAGGAGACAGTCTAGTCACTATTTGCCTGCGGAGGCTCCGCCCTGCTGCTGTGAGGTCTGCCCTGTTACTGCAGCCTCTGCCCTGCTGCTGCGGTCTCCGCCCTTCTGCCACGGGCTACGCCCTGCTGCGGAGTCTCTCTGTTTTGGCCGGTTGCCTCAGCAACAGCAGGCTGCGTCAGCAATGGGAGTGTACTTCAGTAGGGGCGGGTTGCCTCGGTAATGGCAAACGCCCCTCCCTCATCGAGCTGCACCGTCTTGGGTTCAGCTGTGCTCGCAGTGAAACTCTCCACCTGGAGCGTTTGGAATCGCCGTTTTGTTTGTCCCACTGCCCTGGCCCAAACGCCATTTCCCTGGAATCTCCTGGCCTGGCTCACTGTCGAAGTTTCGCTCAGTCAGGTGGATATGCCAATCTGTTCTCTCAAGTCTCAGATTGCCAGTTAAACAGGGTACCTGGACCAGTGCGCTTTGTGCAGAGCTCTGTGGAGCGCCGCCGGCTGCACCGGCCGCCGGCTCCACCAGCCAAACCCACTTTGCTGGCGTCCCACGTCTCTTTTATACCTGGGAATTTCCCCATTCTGTGGTCAACAAAGGTCTGTCTGGAAATGTGGCCCTGACTCACCCTCCACATGTTCACCGAGAGCTTCAATCCTGGGTTGTTCTTACTGCGCCATCTTCTGATTTCTCGCCCATTTACATTTAAGCTTAACGTTATGTGTGAATTTGATCCTGCCATTCTGATGCTAACTGGTTTTTTTGGTCATTAGTTGATGCAGTTTTTTCATTGTGTCGATGGTCTTTACCATTTGGTATGTTTTTGCAGTCACTGGCACTGGTTGTTTCTTTCCATGTTTAGTGCTTCCTTCAGGAGCTCTTGTAAGGCAGGCCTGGTGGTCATGAAATATCTCAGCAATTGCATAATGTGGTTGAATATATTCATCATTTGTGCCTTTTTCTTGATGATATGCATCAGTTCTACATCATCACCTGGGCACAACTGGGATGTTCATATTTTGACATAGGGAGAATGAGTTGCACTTCGACTTCAAAGGTTTATTTAGCACTCTCGGGCAGTCTTCCTAAGACTGTGGACAGAGGTGCTACATTCTTTTTTCTTGTCTACTCTATTTTCCTGTATGTTGATGGCAGTGGCACCACCAGAAATTAATGAGAGGCAGAGAACAGGAGTGAGTTCCTGAAATATCTGACTTGGCTCAGAAAGGATATGATCAGCTGGGATGGACTTCATGGTCAGGCCAGACACAGCGTAATTTCCAGGCCTGGTCTTCCTGTGGCTGGGACAGAGAGCAGCTCTTACTTTTCACCTGCTTCTGGGAGTCACCTGACAGCTGGTCCCTGTATAGTTGCTGTTGGCCAAGTGTGGTTTGGCCCAGAGTCCTGTGTGACTGGAGGGAGTGTCAACTTTCAGGTAGGGCACCTGCCCACACTAGTTGCAGGGGAGGTGAGAAGGGACCCTGCTTCAGTGCCGGGTGAGCTCAGTAAAGGGAGAGGTGCTGCTCCAGAGTTCAGATGGTTTTTGTAGCTCTCCTGTGTGACCTATAAGATATCATTTTGCCTGTTTCTCTGAGATAGTTTTGGAAGTATAGTCCCAAACTTTGTTTTGTTTTACTCATGTGTGAATGAATCCTGGCCATGACCAGTCACTGAGAAGGCAGGGACTATGTCCTCATCATGCCTTCTCATCCCAGAGCTCAGCCCTGGGCAGCCCATCTTGGCCTCCAGTGATGTTCCAATGCTTACAACTTATTTGCTGAGATTCAGCACCAGTGTGAAAAGGTGTCCTGTTCATCTTCTGCCGTCTGTTGTTTCTCATGGTAATCAAGAAACCTGAGTGGGTTCTGATCCAAGGTTACAGGAGAGTAGGGCTGTCTCTGAAGTCAATGAAGTATCTTCCTCATCTCTATTCTGGCTACTTTGGTTCAGTTTTTCTCCTTGCAGAAGATGCTCTTTTTTCTGTTTATAAGTTCTCCTTTGATGGACCAGGCGTTTTTATTTTGTTGTGGCCTCCCTGCACCACACAGGGGTCCTGGAGCTTGTTCATGTGCCCTTGAAGTACCCATCCATGAATGATCAGATCAGAGCAGCAACCACTCTGCCAGGAATCACCAGGGGGGAGAGTCACATCGCCCTCATTTTTGGGTTTAGATCTATGTATTCCAGTGTGGTCCTCAGTGGCATATGTGCTCATTCATATTTAAATAAATGGAAAAAATTTGTAACCTCCTCACAAGAGCCATGCTACAATGCCCAGTTGCCAAAAGTGTACTCTTAAGAGAGCATTGCCATTCTCCCAGAATCATTTAGGGAGCAGCTGCTGAGTCTGGCCCAGGTTCTGTTCGCTGCACTCACCTAACTGAGTGCATATATGCATCAAGGGTGGAATCTCAGGGTTCTCAGATTGAAAGTAAGAGATGCTATGAGCCGGTGTCAGTGAACAGTTGAAAGAGATTATTTCATGTCCTGTGTCTCATCTAAATGCTCACAACTGTGAGCAGTGCTTTCATAAAGGCCCCCAAGTTCACAGAGCCCAGGGAGAATCACAGTGGACAGAGCAGCAGTGCTGTTTGTGTGTGTGTACATGGGCTCATGAATCTATCCAGGAGGAAATAGACTGATCAGGGAGGGACCAACACTCCGGGGTTGAACAATGAGAGACAAATTCTTGGGTACAGTTGGGTTACACTTGTTTTGGAGCCTAGGATGGGATCTCTGAAGTCAATAAACATAAAAGGAAAATTAGGTGTAGAATTCTGACTTGGCTTGTTTTGTATCTTAATGAGAAAGTCATAAGAGTTTTGTTCTCATGGGCTTTGTGAATAGAGAACAGAAGATTAGTTATGCAGGTGTAAAGTTGAGTGTGGGGTGGGACACAGCCCCTCACAGGTGCTATGTGATTCTGAAGACAAAGTCGCTCATACATGTGCCAGGTGAAAGGAAGGAGTCCACTCTCTTTCTCTACATTCTCGGGACCTGCAACAACACCTTCCTGTACTGTCCTCACTGTCTGCTCCTGCTCTAAGGGTGCTTCCTGGATTGGATGGCAAAGAGAATCTTTTCTTTGGGATTCCTACGTATGCCCCAGAATCCTGGGGTCCTGAGGGCAGAACACATGACTGAACACATTTTTGGCCTCCACTCCTCACCCAGTCTTATCCAATGCCAAATCCTTGGGCTTTGAAGGAAAACTGAATTGGTTTTTACTTGAGAGGCCCGTGGCCAGCTTTTGCTCAAGGCCCTCTGTGGCTGGCAGGAATCCTAGGGGATATGTGTGGAGGGGTTGCTGTGTTTCTGTAGACAGTGACACTCCCTGTAGCCTCTTCCCTGGACTAAACTGGGCCCAGGACGAAACTGCTGGACAGCTGGCATAGAGGTCTCTTGTCTTGTCACATTCTCCTCTCTGGCCCAACAGTCTTGACCTACTCCTCACACTCCAGTCAGACCCAGCTTGTTCTTTGTGTCAGGACTGCCAGGTGCCTATCCTACTGGTCTTTGCATAGCTCAGGCAAACCCTGAGAGGGCCTCTCATTTATGTACTGACAACTGCTGGCCTCACCTGCAGATTAAGGCAACTGGGCAAGAGGCTTTACCTCAAATTCTGTTCCATTGTTTTTAACTGTTTAGAAGATACTGGGATTATTTTGAGGGCTGAATATTTTCCAAGTCTCTAAGGCCATTCCAAACATAGAACAGTCACTCTAACTGTGACATCAGACATTGTCATCTTCCACAGGCCCTAGCACAACCCCAGGCCTATGGCAGGTGCTGCTGACCTAGGGTGTGATCCACAGGTTTATTGGAGGGCTTGACAAGGCAGCCTTGATATTCATTCTGATGTCTTGTATTGAAGAGCAGTAGGACTGGTGTAGGTTGACAGGGAGAAAGGAAATGGGATTCATGAGGAGAACAGAAACAGGCCCTACAGGAGGTGGAGGGAGGGAATTCCACATCATACACAACATTGTGAAGAGGGTGGATGCCTCTTGGAGAAACAGAATGACATGGTTTCCCCTTTTCCTCAGTTATGGAATGTGAGGGCTGGGAAAGTATGTGGGAAGTCAGGGGTCCCTCCCTCATAGCACAGAGGAAATACAGGCGTGGAGAAGGCTCTAGAAATGAACATAGCTCCACAGCTCTAAGACAGTGGGGTCTGAGTGGTTCTCTCAGTCTCCCCTTTCCTTCTTATGGCTACCCCATCACTGCTCCTTCTCTGGACATTCTGCTACTTGCTTCACAGAACTGGAAGACTCCATCGCAGGCAGCCATCGGCAGGTAATTTATCTCTTTATATCCTCTTCCTCTGTTATCCTCTTTCTGATCTGTGAGCTTTTTTTTTTTTTTAAGCTCTGATCCTTTTCCTCTTTCCCTGTCATGTGATTGTTCTCCTGAAGGCCTTGGTCTCATCCCACAGTTGAGGTTCTTGGGGTCTTCAGTGTTGATAAAATCCCTCTCCAGCCCCCCTGCCCACTGCCTTGGCATTGCTCTGTTTACTTACCCCCAGGTTGCAGCTTTGAATCTTTCTGAACTACCCTACAGGATCCAGGGAGGGATCCAGGCTGGGGATCAGAAGACCTGGACCCCACCCTGCTGGAGGACTTCCCAGTGACATCTGGGTCTGTTCTCGACACTCCCTTCACAGTGTCCTGCACTGGTATCTCTGGACATGCACAATTGTTCTCTTTCTCCCAGGTGGAAGAACGTTCTAAACCTGCAGAAAAAGCAACAAAGAAGCTGAAGGTGAAGAAGGAAAGGTGAGGGTGCAGCGGGCAGAATGACGAGGGGGAAGGAGACAAGTGCCTGTGTTCTTCATGGCTACATTCACTTTCTTCTTGTTCCATCAGGAAAACCAGTAAGCCCAGGAAGAATACCAGGCGGCATGCCCAGAACATTTTGCACATTTGTAAAATAAGTTAGAAACCGCTGAAGGCAAGTAAAGGATGCCCTGAGAACATCCTCCAGGAACAGACACCCACTCCATAGCATCAGTCTGCTGGACTGAGCCCTCCACAGGCTACTCAGTGAGGGAGATGCTGAGGTGCCGGTTGGACCACTGTGTGTGGGATTCTGAGGGCTGTGCACTGTGTTATTTGTCTGCAGTGACACTTAAGCTCACCAACATTTCATTTGGGGGGACCCAGTTCTGTCCTCCCAGCCCCTTGAAGCCAACAGGGAGCATCACTAGTTTATTCAGAGGGGACAGTAGGGTTTACTACGAATCCCCCTGGTTCAGGCCTCCTGGGAAAAGTGTGAGAGGGGTGGAGGCACTCCTAGGCTGTAGTCACATGAGCAAGCAGCCCACCCAGCCTAGTATTGCAGGCCAGCAGGCACTCAGTAGGTCCTGGTATGAAGCAGTGAACATGGTAAAATCCAAGAGGCACTGAGATATGCCCAGTCCCAGGGATCCTTCAGCTTCTGTGGAGCCCTAGGGTCCTGGGGTGGCCTCATTGCTTTCTTTTTCAAGATGAGGTTGGAGGCTTCTATATGTAGAGAGCACGGGTTTGGGCATTGACATTTCTGTATCTGTTTCGGATGCCAGCAAAGAAAAGCCCAGAAGACATGTCAGGGCTGCACTCACTTGGGAGGGGTTGAGGGAAGGATTCAGGAGCCTCTTTTTTAAAAATATATTTTCCAATCTTGAAATAAGGTACACATATGAATGTGTTGGTGTGTATATAAACACTGTTTTTTACTCTTTCAAATGGATGTCTTGTGACCCTTTTATGCTAGAATATACTAAAGTGAGAAATTTCTGTCTTACTAAAGCATGATTTTAAAAATTTCAATGCAGGCTGGGTGCGGTGGCTCACGCCTGTAATCCCAGCACTTTGGGAGGCTGAGGCAAACAAATCAGAGGGTCAAGAGATCAAGACCAGCTTGCCCAACGTGTTGAACCTCAGAGGTGGAGGTTGCAGTGAGCCAAGATTATGCCACTGTACTCCATCTTGGTCAGAGTAAGACTCTGTCTTAAAAAAATTACAATGCAAAGAAAGGTCTGGTGGGGATGTTAGAAAGACCAGGTCTTATTAGGCAATAACAATGATGTGCTCCAGGAAGCTATGCATACTTGATGTGCAGCTCTTCTGTCTGGATGGTACAGAGGATCTGGGTGACAAGGCAGGGTGACCCCTTCACCCTCTGTCATGAGATGACCTCCTCCTCCTAGGGTTCAGGGGCATGAGACTCTGCATGTTGATCCTGGAGTCCTTGAAATTCCCCCATTTCTCTGTGTCTATTTTACTATTTGGGGAACCAGCCCCCTGAATATGCCCATGTGAGTGCCCAAGTTCAGTTCTTCCATGACACTTACACTGTCTGTGGACAGATAACCCCTCATAAGAGAGCAGCACAGAGGCCTCTGTGCCTTGGCATCTGAGTAGATCTGACTGTGGGGAGCTCAGGGGCCCGAGGTCACCTTGCAGGGCCTGAGGAGCTCTCTGAGACCTGCACAGCCATCCCAGGGAACCCTTTCTCCCTCCACCTCTGTTCCTCCCCAGTGACTCTTGCACCTCTGTGTTGCAGATGCCTCGAACACCAGGAAGAACCCTCATGGAATGTCAACATGGCTCAAACTTGATGTGGATTCTGATTATTTGAAATCTGTGTTACTCTGAGAACTTTTATAATCTTTGCTTAATTTGTTTTTAAATATTTTCCTGATCTTAACCTCTGTTTTTTTAGAGGGCATAAATTGTTCTTGTGTTGTTTCTGTTTTACATTTTTTGATGAAGTTATTTTTCAATTGTTTTCAGCCTTTTTGAAGTTTTGTTCATCCAGTTTTGAGTTTTTGTAATTTTGATGGATATTTTTGTGTGTGATTTATTTCATTTTCTTAATGGCTTTTATCTTATTTTTAAAAAAAATTCATGTTATGGTAAGTTACATGAAGATAGAGCATGTTTATGTTTTGTAGTGGTTGATATTCTGTATGTATTTGACATATATAAGTGTTAACGGCCTCGTGCAGTGGTAACTGCCTGTAATCCCAGCAGTTTGAATGATCAATGCAGGAGAACTGCTTAATTCCAGGAGTTTAAGACCAGCCTGGGAAACATATTGAGATCTCATTCCTATAAAAAAAAATATACTTTTTAATTAGCTGGGTGTGGTGGCATCCATCTGTAGTCCCAGCTACATTGGAGGCTGAGTGATGAGGATTGCCTGAGCTCAGGAGGTTGAGGCTGCAGTAAGCCATGACTACATCACCACTGCATTCCAGCCTGCGTGACAGAGCAAGACCTTCTTTTTTTTTTTCTGAAGACAGAGTTTCACTCTCGTTACCCAGGCTTTAGTGCAATGGCACGATCTCAGCTCACTGCAATCTCCGCCTCCTGGGTTTAGGCAATTCTCCTGCCTCAGCCTCCTGAGTAGCTGGGATTACAGGCACACACCACCATGCCCAGCTAATTTTTTGTATTTTTAGTAGAGACGGGGTTTCACCATGTTGACCAGGATGGTCTCGATGCCTTGACCTCGTGATCCACCAGCCTCGGCCTCCCAAAATTCTGGGTTAAAAAAGTGTTAGGAAGGACATTAACCTAGTCTCGGAGGCCAAAATCTCCTTTAAATCCTCCTCCTGCAAAGCAGTTCTGTGCCAGTTGATGCATTCATCACGGGCGTGAAGGAAAGTCTAGGGATAATTAATACTTTCCAGATGAAGCTAAATGATATGAATCTCTAATTTTGAACAGGGATAAGGGGAAAACAGATGAATGCAGAGTCTAACTGGAAAAATGCCTGGAGATGACTATAACAGAGCTTATTGTAAAAACATCTGCCTGGAAAGTGCTGTTAAAAAAATTAAAAATAAATAAAAAAAAATAAAAAGATCAAGCGGCAACAACAACAAAAGTGTTTATTGATACCAGTTATAAATCTAGCTGTTCATTGCAGAACAAAACCAGTTTGTTGCAGAAATAAGCACTTGGAGGGAAATGTTACATTTTCACTACAGGCCTTGAAGTCTGCTACCAGCTGTGGTCCTTTCAGGGTTCTGTGGTTCCTAGTTCCAGAGAAATCACTTGCTCCAGCGTAACGAGTGAAGAGTTCTTTAGATGATAGCTGCTGGACCTGGTTTTGCTGTTCTCTTCACTTTCTTGTAAGCCTTGTGTTGATGAAGTTCAGTTGTGTATTAGTGTACTAACTGTGTTTTGAGCTTCTCCAAGCATGTGCAAGCAATTTGAGAGGAGCTTCATATGTGCAAGGAATTTGAGAGAAGCATTTTAAGGATGTTTTATTTGGTGGGTCAGGTGAGAAAGATAACATGGGGGCAAGAAGAAAAGTTATTAATTAATGTAAAACCACCAGCTCTTCATCACCTAACTTATAATTTACAGACACTGAGCACATTGCGGTTTGAGAATGTGTTTGGTCCTTTTTGTAGCCTTGCACTGTGCTCTTTGGAGCTGTGGTGTGCTGCTTTTTCTCACAATTTTGTGTCCTGTAGATTGTTCTTGATGCTGGAAAACATTTTGAAGACAAGACTCTAAACAGTGACCTATGCCACACTACTTTATTAGAAAATGAAAAACTTACATTACTGACAATCTTGGAAGACTCTTCTTTTCTGCAGTGACCTGTATTTTCCTGGTCTTTACTTTGCTTCTCTGCTTTATTCTCCTTTTTTGTTGCAATAGTTAAAAGGCCAACTTCTGGGACGTTTTTATCCTCCTCTTTTCTTCCTACCTGCCAGCATTCAAAAGGCCATCTCTATTAAGGGATAAAATTCAAGAATTTATTTCTATATATTAATCCTGATATGATTTCACTTATCCTTCAGTTTAACATTTAGAGTACGAAGTTGTCATCTGGAGGTGCCACTCAGTATACAGCACTGTGTTTAGAAATTGGGGGAGCCATGAAATATTTAGCCTCTGTTCTCTGAGCCCTCAGCCAGGTGCAAAGAAGTGATGCAAAACCACATTTCAGATTGTGTTAATGTACACCCAGTTGTACCAGAATGTGCCTGGGAATAATGGGAGTCAGAAATTTAACTCAAAGGTATGGCTGAAGATTTATGAAATGAAATGGGTCCTGTGTAGGCCTTAGATGTGGGAGAAGGAGAATGTGTCAGGAAGCAGAAACAGTATCAGCAAAGGTGCTGCTGTGAGGCAGGTGGGCAGTGTTTGGGGAACAGCCAGGGGTTTTGTGTAACAGGTTTACAGCAACTGTGGGAGACTTGGTGAATAAGCCCAGAGAAGTAGGCTGGGGCCTACTTAAATTGAAAGTATGCATGGCTTTCAAGGCCAGCTGAGTGGTATATATAGAAACTATAAATAGTAGCACATTTATTAAGGACAACTTTTGTTACCAACGAGCTTTTAAACTTTTTTCGATTGTATAATAGGTGGATAAAGAATTATTGACCTGAATGTATTCAATCTTTGAGTGTTTTAGTATGCTAGATTATTGGAGGTGAAAGGGCTAAGTCAAGCAATGAGTGTTTTTGAGGCTTTTAATATTAATTGCAAAATTAACTTGTAAAAAGGCAGTGCCAGCTTAGACTGTGACAAAGAGTTCTTGTTATATTTTTTCCTTTCTGAGCTGGGTGTTACATCATGGAAACCCTCTGCAGTGTTTCCCCCCGCCCCCTGTTCCTCTCTTTCTTCCTTTTACTTCTCTTAGGATAGGGTCATCCATATGTTTCTGATAGAGGTAATCGTTTGCCACACCATTTTCTGAAGGGCCTACTCTCTTCCCATTTATTTGTGATGACACATTTATCCTACCCTAAGCTTTAATAACATGTTAGGATCTTTCTGTCCTGTCCTATTAAAGAGGTAAAATTTTTTATAATGACATACCTGAGTTAAGTTATAATAGTTTTGTCATGTCAAATATAAAAACAAGCCAGGTGTGGTGGCTTATTCCTGTAAACCCAGCACTTTGGGAGGTCAAAGCAGGTGGACCGCTTGAGTCCAGGAGTTAGAGACCAGCCTGGACAATATGGTGAAACACCATCTCTACAAAATAATACAAATTAGGCACAGTGGTGGATGCATATAGTTCCAGTTACTCAGGAGGCTGAAGTAAGATGGCTTGAGCGTGGGAGGTGAAGATTGCAGAAAGCTGAGATCACAACACTGCACTTCAGTCTGGGCAACAGAATGAGACTCTATCTCAAAAAAGATGTATACTTTATTGAATCATTTATATATGATTGTTATTTTTATTACATATTGTTTAGTTCACTACTTTAAAGCCTGCTTTATTTTTTCTTAATTTTATTGACTCATTTGTGCCTTAGTCTGTTTTATTATAAATTACTATTTAGTCACTACCTTGGAGCCTGTTTTCTTTTTTAAAAAATTTTATTACACTTTAAGTTCTGGGGTACATGTGCAAATCTTGCAGGATTGTTGCATAGGTACACACATGCCATGGTGGTTTGATGCCTCCATGCCCCCATTACCTACATCAGGAATTTCTCTTAATGTTATACCTTCCCAACCTCTTCAACCCCCACTATCCCTTCCTTAGTCCCACACCCCCAACAGACCACAGTGTGTGATGTTCCCCTCTCTGTGTTCATGTGTTCTCATTCTTCAACACCTACTTAGGACAGAACATGTGGTGGTTGGTTTTCTGTTCTTGTGTCAGTTTGCCGAGAATAGTTTCCAGATTCATTCATGTCCCTGCAAAGGACATGAACTCACCTGTTTTTATGGCTGCATAGTATCCCATAGTGTATATGTGCCACATATTTTTTATTCAGTCTATTATTAATGGGCGTTTGGGTTGGTTCCAAGTCCTTGCTATTGTAAACAGTGCTGCAACGAACATATGTATACATGTATCTTTGCACTAGTCCTCTCGTGTAACTCTCCAGATCCGGCTCCTGCCTGTGGTCGACACCTTTCCAGGCCCAGCATTGGCTTTTTGGCATCCTCTTTCAGCTCAGAACGTTTTCATGTCAGCCTCTCCAGTATCAGCTCTTCCTCCTGGCTACATTTACAGGCCCAACTCCTGCCTCACAACATTTGGCCTAGCTCCTGCTCAGCTCCTAGCAGTCTGTGTAGGCCCCAGACTTCCTCAAGTTGGGCTTTCCAGGCCCACCTTCCGCCTCTCAGTGGCTGGACAGACCCACTTCCTGCCTACCAACAGCCTCTCCAGGCCCAGCTCTTACCCTTGATGTTGGCCTCCCCAGGCCATTTCTGCTTGCCTGCCTGCCTGCCTCATGGCAGCTCCTGGCTCTCTGATGCCCTTTTTAGGCACATGTCATGCCTCACCATGGCCTCCCCAGGCTGATGGAGGCTCCTGCTTTTCGGCATCCTCTGCAGGCCCAGCTTGTTCTTTACTAGACCTTCCAGGCCTGCAGGCCCACTTCTCGGAAGCTTTTGGTGGCCTCTCTAAGCCCAGCTCATACGCTCATCCCTTTGTGGCCTCTCCAGGCCCAGGTGCTGCCTTCTGGCATCCATTCTGGGCAAGCTTTTCCTCATGGCTGCATCTACAGGCCCCCGACCTGTCTTGCAACAACCTCTGTGAACTCAGCTCCTTGTGGCATTTGTAGGCCCAAAAGGTCCTTAAATCAATCTCTTTAGGCCCACACAACTCATGCCTCACGATGGCATCTCCAAGATCAGCTCCTGCCCTCCGAATGCATCTCCAGGACCCAAATATGCTCAAGTCACCTACTATTGGCTTGGCTCCAGCTTCCTCCTGGTGGCCTCAGAGGCCCACATGTTCCTAAAGTTGGCCAATTTAGGCCCAGGTCCTGCCATCCTGGTGGCCTCTCTGGTTGCAAAACCTTCTCATGTTGGTTCCTCAAGGGTGAGCTTCTGTCTCCTAATGACCTCATTGGGCTTAGCTCCTGCCTCCCAACATCCTCTGTGGACTCAGCTTTTGCCCAGCTTCTGGTGTCCTGCATAGGCCTGAAAGGCTCATGGTGGCCTCCCCAGGCTCAGCTCCTGCTCTCTGTCGGCATCTACAGGCCCCAAAATTCCACAGGTTGGCTTCTCGTGGCCTGGCTCCAGCAACCTCCCAGTGGCCTGGGCAGGCCCAAATGGTCTTAATGTCAGCCTTTCCAGGCCCAGCTCCTGCCTCCCAGTGGCCTCTCCAGGCCCAAAGCCTCCTTTTGTGGGCTTTTCCAGGCCTGGCTCCTGCCTATGGTAAGCCCTTCCGGGCCCAGCCTCTGCCTCCTAGTGGATACAGGCATGCAATGTGTAATAATCACATCAGGGTAAATGGGATACTCCTCATCTTAAGCATTTATTTTTTCTTTATTTATTTTACAAACAATTCAGTTATGTTCTTTTCCTTTTTTATTTTTCTTTCTTTTCTTTTTTTTTTTCTTTTTGCATTGGAGTGTAGCTCTGTCTCCCTGGCTGGAGTGCAGTGGTGCAATCTCATCTCACTGCAATGTCTGTCCCCGGGGTTCAAATTATTCTCCTGCCTCAGCCTCCTGAGTAGCTGGGACTAATTTTTGTATATTAAGTAGAGACAGGGTTTTGCTATGTTAGTTAGGCTGGTCTCAAACTCCTAGCAGGTGATCCTCCTGCCTTGGCCTTCTAAAGTTCTGGGATTGCAGGCATAAGCCACCACAGCTGGCTTCTTTCAGCTGTTTTTAAATAAGTAAATTATTGTATACCATTGTCACTCTGTTATACTACAAAGTACTACATCTTATTCATTCTGACTGTATTTTCGTACTCATTAATTATTCCTGTGAACCCACTCCAGCCCACTATTCTTTCCAGCTTCTGGTAACCATCATCCTACTCTCTTATTTTCATAAGTTCAATTGTTTTAATTTTTAGCACCCACAAATGACTGGGAACATGCAAAATTTGTCTCTCTCTTTCTGACTTATTTTAGTTAATAAAATAGTCTCCAATTCTACTCATGGTGTTGCAAGTAACAGGTTTCTATTCTTTTTCATGGCTGAATAATACTCCATTGCATATATATACCACTTTTTCTTCATTCACCTGTTTTTTTGTTTCTTTTTTTTTTTTTTTTGAGACGGAGTTTTGCTCTTGTTACCCAGGCTGGAGTGCAATGGTGTGATCTCAGCTCACCACAGTCTCCACCTCCTGGGTTCAGGCAATTCTCCTGCTTCAGCCTCCTGTGTAGCTGGGATTACAGCCATGCACCACCATGCCCAGATAATTTTTTGTATTTTTAGTAGAGACAGGGTTTCACCATGTTGACTAGGATGGTCTTGATCTCTTGACCTCGTGATCCACCTGCCTCAGCCTCCCAAAGTGCTGGGATTACAGGTGTGAGCCACTGCACCTGGCCCCATTCACCTGTTAATGGACACTTAGATTGCCTCCAAATCTTGACTATTGTGAATAATGTTGCAACAAATGTAGAAATGTAGATATTTCTTTGATATACTGATTTTCTTTCTTTTGGGTATATACCCAGCAGTAGAATTACTGTGTCATAAAGTAGCTCTCTTTAGTTTTTTTTGAGGTCTTTCCAAACCATTTTCCATAGTGGTTGCACTAATTTACATTCTCACCAAGAGTGTACCAAGGTTCCCTTTTCTCCACATCCTCATTAGCATTCGTTAACTGCCTATCATTTGGATATAAGCCATTTTAACTGGGATTGCATGATAGCTCATTGTAGTTTTGATCAGTGATGTTGAGCATGTTTTTATAAAGATGCCATTTGTATGTTTTCTTTTGAGAAATGTCTATTTAGATTTTTTGCCCATTTTAAATTAGATTATTGAGCTTTTTGTCCTATTAATTTTGTTTTTACCTAAGCTCCTTATATACTCTAGTTATTAATCCCTTAGATGGATTCAGGATTGGGTTTTGTCTTTATTTTACACTTAATTCTAAACCATTGAATGGTATCAAGTAAAGAATTGACATATTTATATTGGAAGATGACTTTGTGTATTTGCTACCTATTGCTGTGTAACATACTGGTCAGGTGCAGTGGCTCACCTGTAATCCCAGCACTTTGGGAGGCCAAGGCAGGCGGATCACGAGGTCAGGAGTTCAAGACCAGCCTGGACAAAATGATGAACTCTTTCTTTACTAAAAATACAAAAGTTAACCAGGTGTGGTAGCTCACACCTGTAATCCTAGCTACTCAGGAGGCTGAGGCAGAAGAATCACTTGAATCTGGGAGGTGTATGTTGCAGTGAGCTGAGATTGTGCCACTGCACTCCAGCCTGGGAGACAGAGTGAGACTCCATCTGAGAAAACAAACTAAAACAACAAAAAAATACCACCCCTAATTATACAGTTACAATGATACTTACTAGTCTTCTCACACTTCTGGAGGCTGACTAGACTCACTTAGGCAGTTCTGGCTCAGGATGTGGTTGCCTTCAAACAGTATGGTGTTAGAATACTGTCAAAGGTTTTCTTGCTCAAGTATCTCCTGGTTAATGTGGGCTGTCAACCAGGGCATCAGCTGGGGCTATCCGGTGGAATACCCACACGTAACCTCCCTACATGGTCTGGGCTTTCTGACAAAATGGTGAATGGGTTCTAAGCACACCCACCCCAGGAAGGAGAGCCAAGTGGAAACAGTATCATCTTTTATGACCTAACTTTGGCAGGTCATGAGCAACACTTCACTGAATTCTACTTACAGATGCAGGAGACTATGGTCATTTTCAAGGGAAGAGAAACTAAATTCTATCTTTTGATAACAAGTGTAAAAAAATTTGAGGACAACTATTCAGAATAGTGGAGAGATGGAATCAATCTAAGTTTTCTTCCCTCGATGGAAAAAACAATAAAACGTGGCAGCCAGGCACAGTGGCTCACACCTTTAATACCAGCACTTTTGGAGGCCAAGGCGGGCAGATCATCTGAGGTCAGGAGTTTGACACCAGCCTGGCAAACGTGGCAAAACCCCTTCTCTACTGAAAATACAAAAAATAGCTGGGTGTGGTGGCACACACCTGTAATCCCAGCTACTTTGGGAAGCTGAGGCAGGAGAATCACTTGAGCTTGGGAGGCAAAGATTGCAGTGAGCTGAGATTGCATCACTGCACTCCAGCTGGGGTGAGAGAGTGAGACTCCATCTCAAAAAAAAAAAAAAAGAAAAAGAAAAGAAAAGTCCAACATTCAGAAAATGCTTTATATAATCAAAGTGAATCAATCAGAGTATAAAAGAACTACATTAACGCAACTGAAAAAACTGTGGAGATTAGAGATAGTAATCTAACACTGGGTTGTCAATTGACGACCCTGAGTTAAAGAACCTAAAAAAAACAAAAACATAAAACGGCTGGGCACAGCGGCTCATGCCTGTAATTCCAGTGCTTTAGGAGGCTGAGGTGGGAGGAAAGCTTGAGGCAAGGAGTTTGAGGAAAGCCTGGGCAATACACCAAAACCCCATCTCTACAAAAGTGACAAAACTTAGCCAGGTGTGGTGCACACCTGTAGTTCCAGCTACTCGGGAGGCTGAGGCAGGAAGATTTTTTGAGCCCACGAGTTTGAAGCTGCAGTGAAATATGATGTCACCACTGTGTTCTAGAACTTGGGTGACAACAAAGCCCTATAGAAAGAAAGAAAAGAAAGAAGGAGAGAGAGAGGAAGGAAGGAAGAAAGAAAGAGGAAGAAAAAGAAAAAGGGAGGGTGGGAGAAAGAGAGGAAGGGAGGGAAGGGAGGGAAGGGAGGTAGGGAGGGAGGGAAAGGAGGGAGAGTGAAAAAGAAAGAAAGGAAGAAATGAAAAGATAAGTAGGCAGTCAAAGGACACCCCATATACCTGGAAAAACTAATACAGAATTACTGGCCTAGAGCCAACCCTGGCTAAGGTACTGAACTTCAATGATAAAGAAAGGACGCTACTAGCCTTTCAGCAGGAGAACATAAGACACATGTTAGAAGAACCTCCAGCCAGCCCCAGGCCTTCCCATGGCCCCAGCCAGAACCAGATAATAGTAGAGTCAGAACTTGGAGGAAGAACTGAAGAAAATGAAAATGAATTAAGGATATTCTCCCAAGAAAGATGTCATTCAAGTATGCATGCATTAAACAGAAACTCTCAAACCAATTTCAAAAATACAGCAGCTGTGGGTGAAAATAGAAACTGCAGATTAAAAAGAATCATGACACTTGTATTTTTTATCATAATTTTAATGAATGTTGAATGAAGATACCACTTACACATATGCATTTATATGAAGTTCAGAAATTCTCCCACCTTACTTTAGTTTCTTGAGACAGTCTCACTCTGTTGTCCAGGCTGGAGTGGAATGGTGAAATCTCAGCTCACTGCAACCTCCACCTCCCAGGCTCAAGCAATTCTCATGCCTCAGCCTCTCAAGTAGTTGGGATTACAGGTACCCACCGTGACACCCAGCTAATTTTTGAATTTTTAGTAGAGACAAGTTTTTGCCATGTTGGCCAGGCTGGTCTCGAGCTCATGACTTCAAGTGATCCCACCCACTTTGGCCTTCCAAAGTGCTGGAATTGCAAGTGTGAGATAAGGTGCCTGGTCATATTACCTAATGTTGAGTAATTTATTGGTAGTTAAAAATTTCATGATTTGTTTTTTGCTTCTCTGTTTTCTCTCTCCTTTTTCTTTCTCTGACAGGGTCTTATTTTGTTTCCCAGGCTGATGCCTCAAACTCCTGGGTTCTGGCAAGCCACCTGCTCAGCCTTCTCAGTAGCTGGGACTATAGGTGTGCATTACAATAACTGTTTTTTTTTTTTTTTTTTTTTTTTTTTTTTACTTTTTATAGAGTTGGAATCTTGCTATGTCACTCATGCTGATCTCAAACTCCTGGCCTTGATTCATCCTTTTACCCTGCCTTCCCAAAGTGCTGGGATTACAGGTGTGAGCTATGGCACCCAGTCTTCTTCGTACTTTTCTATAGGATTTAGATTTTATGTAATAATTACAAACAATTTTTACAAAAGTAGTAGTCATTCTATTTTTAAAATTAAGCAGTGATTAAGAATGAGCTACAGAAAGTGGTATTTATTCAACACCTATTATATACTAGATATTTGGCATATAGTGGACCACCTAATCAATGCATCAAGGGAGGAATTATAATCTTTAATTTCCAAAAGAGGAAACTGATGCTTACAATTATTTCTTAGTGTTAGAGTTACACAGCTGCTGTCAAAACAAGTGTCTTCTCCCAGCAGCCTGCCCCCTGCTGGTTTTATCAACCCCCTACTTCCACCCCCACATCTGGGCACAAGAATGTACACACACACACACACACACACACACACACACACACACACACTTCTGCAATATTCCATCTGCCTAGGCCAGGAACCTGTCCTGACAAACCAAATGCATTAACTATTTCCTGCTTAAAGCTGTTATTCAATCTCTCTATGATTTGGGAAACAGTTTCTGATTTCAAACTGATGAGGATTACACTAAGCTCTCAAGAGAAGTAATAATTGCAAAACATCCTAATCTATGTGAAAGGATATGATGATCAGATATATCCAGCCCTTTGTGATGCTCTGCTGTAAGGTGGTTGAGGTTGAAAGTACTATTGGCTCATTGTTGTCTTGGCCCATGGTCATTAATAATGATACTTTGTACTTCTTTCATGTTTCTGCTAAGGGTCATTTCACAATCTGGAAGAAGCTTATCAATTTCTAGGTATTCAAATATCTCTTTCACAGTGTGTGTGTGTGCATGTGTGTGCTATGAAAATATATACACCTATATATTCACATATGAACATACACACATGTATCTGCAAATATATATATTTATAGTATGCTAATTAAAAATTAAACTTTTAATAATCCATGAAAAGATAATAGCAGGCCAGATATAGTGGCTCACACTTGTAATTTCAGCACAGAAGTATGTTGGGGGGGAAGATCACTTGAACCCAGAAGTTTTAAACTGGCCTGGGAAAAATGGTGAGACTCTCTCTCTACAAGAAATATAAAAATTAGATGGGCATGATGGCTCATACTTGGTGTCCCAGCTATTCAAGAACCTAAGGTGGGAGGATCACTTAAGCCAAGAAGGCAGAGGTTGCAGTGAGCTGAGATCACACTACTGCACTTTAACTTGCATGACAAAGTAGTATTTGCCTAAAAAGAAAATTGGTATCCCAGAAAACTTTAAAATATCTACACATTCATAAATGTCACAAATGTATATAATCATCAATATATTGATCATAAAGTAAATTCTTAATACTTGATGATGAGCAAATGTTAGGCCAGCCATGATGGCTCAAGCTTGTAATCTCAGCATGTTGAGAGGCCCAGGCAAGAGGATTTCTTGTGTCCAAAAGTTTAAGGCCTGAGGGATCTGTGGGGATCACTCCCATGTGAGGCCCCTAGGAAATGGGCCTTGCCATATGGTGAGCTTGGGCCCAGACACAGATCCCCGGTTGGGGGAGTCAAGCTGAGGGAAAGCAGGAACCAAGAGAGGGACTATGCTATTCAAAATAATTAATAGACATTACTTTATGGATATGAGGACTTGGGAGGCATTGTGTCCACTTTTGGCTCCTTATGGTTTATTGCTTGATTGTGTTCATTTTGGACCCTTGTTACCTTCATTGTAAAATATTAAGTATTTACACTTGGTAACTTACTGGGTGTAACTGTAACTTACTTACCATAACTTACTGGGCATAACTGACTTACTGGCCTTAACTTACTTACTGGGCATAACTTAGTGGGTGTAACTTGCTTACTGTAACTTAAGTATGTTGATCTGGCGTAAACAACATTAACTTCAGAAAAGTATATAATGGAACATATTGCAAAAATAAAATTGCTGTTTGGACATAGCCTAAGCCAGCCCTCCAGACTCCATTTTTCTTTTTTCTTTCACTTTCTTGCACTCTCTCCCTCAGGTTGAATGAGACATCTATGTTGGTGGTCTCAGGGACTCCCGCAGGTTGGTAGCCCCCCGGCAGATGTGCTGGACCCCAACATCTGGCGCCTGAACAGGGACCTGATTACAAGAGGTACAGTGACGCACCCCAAATCAGAGGAGACAAGGTAAGGCCGTGGTTCTTGTAGTTCTGGACTCAAAATTCATCTGGAGTAAAATATGGGGCAATGTGACTCCAGAAATCAGTCTATGTTCACAAAATTATTACATCAAATGTTAAGAAATAGAGGTGCTGATGTAAAAATGAAACATGTTTCTAAGTTTTTAGATATTGTTTACGAATTGTGCCCATGGGTCCCTGAGGAGGGATTGTTAGATGAATCTACCTGGAGTAAAATAGGAACTAAGATTGAGAAATACACCGCCACTCATCAATCTTCCCCACAGGCAGAACTGCTTCTTTCGGTTTGGCTGCAGCTGTGCCACGCTGTCTGCCTGTCTGCTGCTTCTCTTGCTTCTAATCCCTCTTTTTTCTTTTACAAATCTAACCCTGATGATGGAGGGGGCGGCTGTAATTTACCACCTTGTAATCCTCTAAACTAGCCTGATTCTGCCCTTGGAGTCAGACCCAGAGCCGGAAATGGAGGAGCTCGGGACGAAGGGATTGGAACCGAAGTAAAAAACAGTGTTTCAGAGAATGCGCAGGTAAGTGCTTTGGCCGCTTCCTTAATTCTCTCCCCTGAGCAATTTTCCAGGCTCCTGGATTTGCTTTCCAAACCTGCTCAGGCTTTTCCTGTAGTTACTACACTTTCCTCTAAGCCTGTGGTGTGCTCTACCTCGCAAGAAACTATTCTTGCAGCCACTTATGCCTTTGAATTTATGAGACAGAGATTTCCTGATTCTGACTTCCACCTCGTGTAGAAGTGACCAATCAAAACGATGAGATCGCCCGCCACTATGAACCTATTCCGCCAAAATTCATGAAAGATTTCAAAGAGGCAATGAGTAATTACAGACCTACTGCACCTTATACTCTGTCTTTACTTGAAAATTTTGGTACTCAGGCTATAACCCCTGCAGACTGGCATCGCGTCACCAATGCCTGCCTTTCAGGTGGTGACTACTAATTGTGGAAACCTTATTATGATGATGCCACTTTCGATTTGGTGGAAAAAAATGAGAGACAAAGAGTGGGAGTCAATTTACAGATGCTGAAAGGCACAGGTGATTATGAGGATGTTCAGGAACAAGTTGCCCTCCCAGAAGCCGCATTTGGGCAGGTAAATGCTTTAGCTTTGCATGCCTATAGAAAGCTTCCCACTCATGGAGAATTTACTAATGAAATTACCAAAATTAAACAGGGAAATGAGGAACCTTACCAAAATTTTGTCTCTTGATTAATGCAGGCAGTCAAATGGCAATTTGGAGATAGTGAGTCAGCTCAATTATTTACAAAACAATTGGCCTATGAAAATGCTAATACTACTTGCCAGTCCATTCTCCGTCCATGGAGAAAATCTTCCCTTGCGGAATACATCTGGCAATGTGCAGATGTTGGGCCAGCCTATCAGCAAGGTTTAGCCATGGCCGCAGCACAAAAGGGACTTTTCGTGTTGGCCTTTTTAAGGCAGCAGCAACAGCAAAATCGTAGGCCATCTGTGAAGTGCTTTCGATGTGAACAGTCTGGTCACGTTGCTAAAAACTGCCCTCACCCTGTTGGCATTGCTTCCCCCCAGCCTGTGCCATCTTTCCCTCCCATGCAGCAAAGGCCTTGCCAG